TCCCACTCTCTGAGATTCGCGACAGAGAGTTCCTGGCGCTGATGCTGACCACCGCGGCAGAAGAAGAAGATGCAGAAGAAGCAGCAGCAGAACCTGCTCCCGTACCTGATGAAGACCCGGAGGAAGCCCGCGCGCGCTACATGCGCACCTCCGGCTTTCGCGCTGACGATGCACTCTGGCACCAGCGCCTCGGACACCCTTCACGCGTAACGCTTAAAAATTGTATCGACGCAGGCGTCTTCGCTCCTGGCGCACTCCTGCGCCCCGATGGCTCCGAAGTGAGAGGCGCAACGCACCCGCGCAATTGCACAGTCTGCCCCGAAGCTGCGCTGAGCCACCAACCGTTCCCGCTGCTCGAACCTGGGACGAACCGCTACCCCAAACTGCACAAGGTGTACAGCGATTTCCTGAACGTAGGGCATTGCGGAGTCGAGGACGAGCTATACACTCTTACCTTCATTGACGCTGGAACACGCTACGTGTGGGTCGCGAACGTGGAGACGCGCGACAGAGCCTACGAGGTGTTTCGGCTCTGGTTAGCGCATGCGGAGCGGCAATCTGGAAAGAAGCTCAAAATCTGGCAATCTGACGGCGCGGCAGAGTTCAGGAGCAACCAGATGCAAACTTACCTGGCGCAAAAGGGGATCGAGCATCACATCTCTCTCCCCTACGCACATCAGCAGCAAGGCGTAGCGGAGCGAACGAATCGCACACTGATGACGAAGGTGCGGGCGCTAATGAAGCAGTCGAAGCTGCCGCCGATCTACTGGACCTACGCAATGCACCACGCCGTGCGGGTGCACAACCTGCTTTCAACCACCGCGATCACCGGGAATCTCTCCCCGCACGTCAAATGGACCGGGACCAAGGGGGATACCTCCATGCTCCGCGTGTGGGGGTGCATGGTGCAGTACCGCCCGCCAACATCAACCATCGGCAAATTCGCCAGTCGCGCGCGCTGGGGAATTCACCTCGGCATCAGTCACGAGTACAAAGCATGGATCGTACTGGACCTCCTCAGTCAGAAAACCGCCCACGCTCGCGACGTAATCTTCTACGAGCGTCTCTTCCTCGACCAGTTCCGCGACGACGAGCAGAGGAATGCAGATCGCGTTTACGCGAACAACGGCCACAGCTACGCAACGCCCGAAGACGAAGCCGCTGCAGCACTTCTAGAGCAGGACACCAGGGCCGAATTCACTTGGGAAGATCGGCGCAGCAGCGACAACGATGATGACTCCTCAGGAGGAGGAATGGGCAGAATGGGCGGAAGCGGCGGAGGCGCAACACCATCAGCACCACCTGAACCTGAGAGCGACGATGATGACGTGCAGGAAGTTATTCCGCAGCGTCGCCACGACAGTACCGTCTCATGACTTCAACTGCTCGGGCTTCACACAGCAACCTCGAAAGCGCCGCGCGTCATCGAGCCCCGAAACCCGCGCGAAGCCCTCTCTGGACCACACAGCAAGGAATGGCGTGAGGCAATGGACGCGGAAATCAAGGCACTAGAGTCACGCGACACCTGGGTGCTCGTTGACCGCGCAGCAATCAAAGGTGCAAGAATCCTTTCGGGAAAGTGGGTCTTCCGCGTGAAGACCGCAGCTGACGGAACGATTGAGCGCTTTAAAGCGCGCTGGGTGGTTCGCGGCTATGACCAGAGGCATGGGATCGATTTCGACCAGACATTCGCCCCCGTCAGTCGCCACACCTCCGTCCGCATCTTGCTCGCTATCGCAGCTGCAAGGCACCTGCCACTCCGCCAGATCGATGTCAAAAAAAACACGTTCCTGTACGCGTTAGTGGACGCTGTGATTTACGTGGAGCAACCACACACCTATGGCGAAGGTGACTCGCGCGTATGTCAGCTGCGCAAGTCACTGTACGGCATCAAGCAGGCTCCAAGGCTGTGGCAGCAGTACTTGCACAACATCCTGCTTGAAATCGGGTTCAAGCAGATGCCCCACGACCTAGGGATGTACCGCCGCGATTTCCGCGGGGAATACATCCTCCTCACGGTCTACGTCGACGACTTGCTCTACACGGGCTCAAACAACGAGCTGCTCGAACAGTTCGAGAAGGCTTTGGCGGGGCGCGTCGACATCACGTGCAACTACGAGGTGAAGCAGTTCCTAGGCCTCAACATCTCCTACGCGCCTGAAGCCATTCACCTCTCAGCGGCTAAGTACGCAGAGGAGTTAGGGAAGCGGTTCAAGATTTCACCCGCACCTCTCTCGACTCCCTATCGAACCCCCGGACCGAACCACAAACCTGACAACAAAGCCCTGTCCCCTGCTGGAATCCAGACTTACCAGCAGCAGCTGGGATGCCTCCTTTTTGCCTCTGTCACCTGCAGGCCAGACCTCTCCTACATCGCAAGTCAGCTTGCCCAGTACTCACGGAAACCAACGGCTGAAAATCACCTGGACCTGCAGCGCGCTTTGCAATTTTTCGTTTCAACGCCCAAGATTGGGCTGTGCTTTTCAACCGCTCCAACCCCATCCTTCAATCTCGTCGGCTATGTGGATGCCGATCATGCAGCAGATCCCGACAATCGACGGTCCAGGACCGGCTTCCTGTTCCGACTCGAACCAACGGGGCCAATCTCCTGGAACTCACAGAAGCAGGAGCTGGTTGCCCTGTCGTCAGCCGAAGCAGAATTCATCGCAGCAACCGCAGCAGTTCGCGAGGGCCTCTACCTACAGGAACTCCTGCAGGAGGCGAAAATTCCAGCTTCGCCAACCTTTCGACTTCACTGCGACAACCAGAGCGCGATTCGCATCGCGAACAAACCTGGTTTCGTCAATCGCACCAAGCACATTGCGCTGCGATATTTCTTCGTGAAGGACGAAGTGGACAAGGGCAAGGTCAACTTGACCTATTGCCCGACCGGTGACATGGCAGCAGACTTCCTCACAAAGCGACTGCCACGCCAGCAGTATCAGCACTGCTCCAAACTCAGCGGCGTGGTCAAGCAGGTCAAATCGAGCTACGGCCAGGAGTGAAGGGGGGTGTTACGAATAGTAATATTTAATTGTTACTGAGCACTCCTCACCGCAGCAAAGAGAAGCACGCAGTATCGAAGCAAGAAAGCGAACCGTCAGACAGTTGGAGTTTGACTCGAAGTGTCAGACAGTTGGGGCGCATCTGGACCGTCGGAGGCAGACGGCATCGGACAGCTGCAGGCAGGATGTTCTTGGCGGGAACAGTTACGAAACTGTACGCGCCGCACGGTTGAATGTATTTGAATAAGGGAATGTACCCCTTAGAGTACATGGCTAGCTAGGTCGTTTCGTCTTCCCTGTACTCATATTTATACTTGCTGTATTTGCATGTTTTAATTTATCTCAAGCATTTTACATTCACTCTGCTATTGAGGTCACGGGCCCACCAACTACATTTCCCTGTGTGCGAACCTTCCCGAGTAGATCCTGGTTAGCGATCATTCTCTGATCGTAGCACATCACGTAGTTCCAACCCTCCAATCCCTCCCCTTATCCCCACACACTGAACCACCACTCACTTTTCGCGCATGTGAACCGGAAGACTGATAATGAGTGGGGGAGATGGATTAGATAAGTAAATTTAGGAATCATTTACATGATCCAACATTGTTTGACACACTTGGTTTATGTCACTGATTTCATCAGCAGTGAATCACGTCACCAGACAGTACTTGATGGTAGTGCCAGTCAATCACCGACAGTTCTCAAAGGTATTAGTGGTACTTTTTTTTTCTAAACGTAAGTCGTTACAACAGACATAAGTGTTGAAAGAGACTTGTGTACTTCTTGTCAATCACCCGCACAACCCCTCTCGGGCCTTGCATCGGAACTGTGACGCGTCAGACTCAGTGTCAAGATTCTTGAACTCGAAAATGTTGAAACAGTTTGCTGGGTCTCATTCCGCACCCGTCACCCTTCGCCACCCTCGTTAGGCGAACTGAGCACTCGTCTAAGCTCGCAAACAGATTTTCAAGTTCAGTATTTATGAAATATTATGAAATATTACCATTCTAGACTTGGGTTTTAACTTTCTGCTTCTCGTAAGGGCGTGTAACCATTTTCCCATGACGGTTCGAACCGTGGACCGTCCGGTCGACGAAAAGGTTACCTGTTCGCCATAGTTTCGTTTTAGCTTTCAGGAATGCCTATGCGACGTCGTCAACATATCGAACTGTGGTGACACTTTTCCCTTGTTTCGACGGTTCACAATGTGAACCGCGGACAGTCTGAAACCAGAACGGACGGTCCGCCAGCCCTGACTCGAGATTGGTCAACCTACATGACCTGTAACGATTGGCGGATGAATCTGAATAACGAGCTGTGGCGAGTCAAGTTACGGAGATACAAGACACCTAACGAGGCTACAGTAATCGCCAAAATGATGAACAACCAAAGAAGTGTCACTCTCCTATCCGGACAATGGCAAAGTACCGAAACGTCAGAGCGGACGGTTTTGTTCTCGCCAGTTGGACCGTCCGTTTCAAAATATGAGGACCGTCCGCAAAAACGGGAAAATCAAAATAGTTATACGCCCTAAGCTCCGGCTTTATACTCCCTTATTCCTCATGTATCTCCCAGCCTCGTTTCGAAATGGCCAGGTATTGTCGTGTTCTCGTCAGCCTCGCTAGTGTAGGGTGCTGAGCCTGGGCAGGTACAGCTCGCAATTGCTGTAGTATTGTATGTGGTTTTTTTACCCAAGGTGAACGACGTGAAGACGAGACCGCGGGGGAGACAGCTTTTGCCACTACGAGAAAACCCGGTTTGTCGCACGCCTCCCAGCTCTTCGCAAGTCGTGCTTGCTGGCCGTTCATTTTTACTCTTAGCAAACACCTAGAGCTCATGTTTCGGGAAACTAAATAGCGAGCGCAGCTCCTAGGGCTTCTGTGGTATACCACTAAATGAAGGGGGCATAGGAGCAAACGTTGACTGACAATTTGCCAACCGACCTGCGCCAACTGCTCTACTTGTCCTCGTTATAGTCACCAGCGAGACTCAATGGAGCGATGGTCCGCTGACGAGTCGCGCGCGTTGATCGCGCTGCGGGAACGCGTGGAGCGCGAAACGAGTCGGTCGATAAACGCCAAGGCCGGCAACGCCAGTGATGATGACGAGGATGGCGATGCGGTGAATTTTGGCGGGAAGCGCATGTGGGAGTGGGTTTCGACGGAGATGAAGAAGCAGGGGTATCATCGATCCATGGTGCAATGCAAGGCCAAGTGGACGGTTCTCTTTAACCGATACAAGGTGCTGCGCTGTGCTAATAACGCTAATAACGAGTACAGTAAGCGCCGTGCTGTTCAACAAGGTAATACACTCCATTCGTTTCTTCCCACTCCTTTCAGACCCCATCCTCCCCACTCTCCGCCCCCCCGGCCTTCCCCTTCCCCCCCGCCCCGCTCCCTTCCTCCCGCCTGCATGTGCCGCCGCATCACCCAAGCATCCAACTATTGGAGCGGCGGAACAAGGCGGCCAGCACACTGCACTCACTCACTCACTCACTCACTCACTCACTCACTCACTCCCCACGCATCACATGTCCGTTCCTCCACGCCCTGGCGACCAGAGGCATTCTCAACCTCGTGGCGGGCGGAGCAGGGCCGCACGGCGCGCACACATCAGTATGCACTCCCACGCGTGCCAACTCCCGCTTTCCTTAACTTCCCCTCCTCCTCCCCCCCCTCCCCCCCTTGCCCCTTTCCCTTTCCCCCCCTCTCTTTCCCTCTACCCCATTCCCTCCGACCCCTCCCCCCACACCACCCCGTCACCGTCGCCACCCCACCCACCACCACCCTCCCCCCCCAGAGCATGGAGCTATCAGAGCGGCAGGGCAAGGCGTGTCCGTTCTTTGACGAGCTGACAGTCATCTTCAAGATCCGCGCAGAGCAGGCTGCGAATGTCCCCCCTCCACTCGCCCCCCTCCCCACCTGTGTCGCCGTCTGTGACAGAGCATGGAGCTATCAGAGCGGCAGGGCAAGGCATGTCCTTTCTTTGACGAGCTCACCGCCATCTTCAAGCTGTGGCCCCTCTTCCCCCCCGTTCCCCCACTTTCTCCCCTTCCCCACGACAACCACCTCTTCCTTCCAGAGCATGGAGCTATCAGAGCGGCAGGGCAAGGCGTGTCCGTTCTTTGACGAGCTGACAGTCATCTTCAAGATTCGTGCAGAGCAGGCTGCTCGAGTGGCCGCTCTGGGCCATGGCGTTGTGGACACCAGACCTGCAGGCTTGGCAGGCGCTGGACCTGCGGGCTCGGCACGAGCTGCTTCGGGAGGGGGTTCGTTCTTTGGCTCGGATGGTTTGTTTGGAATGCAAGGGGAGGATGGGGAGGGGGAGGAAGGCGGAGAGGAGGAAGAAGAAGAGGAGGAGGAAGAGGAAGAAGAGGACGGGGAAGGGGAGGGGGATGATGGGGAGGAGGAGGGGGAGGAGGGAGATGCAGCAGGCAAGAAGCGCAAGAGAGGAAGCAAGGGGGGAAAGGCGGGGGGAAGGGGAAGGCGTGGCAGTGCAGGGGCAAGCACAGCAGGCAGAGGCGCAGGGAGGCCGCGAGTGGATTCGAGGGGGGATGCTGAGAAGGAGAGCTTGCGGCGGAAGCTGGGCGAGGGGTGGTTAGGGATGAAGGTAGATAAGAAGCGGTTGGATAAGATGTGGGAGGTGCAGGGCGCGCTGCTGAAGCAGCACGCGCTGCTGGAAGGGCAGTGGGGCGATGAGGGCGAGCGGGTGGAGGAGCGGGGGAAGGAGAGCGGCGCGGCGTGGATTGAGCGGCTGGAGCAGCAGGAGAAGCGGCGACTGGCTGAAGATGTGAAGTGGCGTGAGGTAGTAGTGATGAGGTTGGGTGCTATGCTGTGAGGATTGAATGAGATTTTATGGCATAATGGCTTGATTGTGTGATGGCACGTTCAGAGGAGGGCTAAGTTGAGAACATGAGAATGCATTGGCAAGAGGGTGTGCTGCCTGATGGACCACAGTTATGCCATCAGGCAACACATCCTCTTGACACATCCTCTTGACACATCCTCTTGACACATCCTCTTGACACATCCTCTTGACACATCCTCTTGACACATCCTCTTGACACATCCTCTTGACACATCCTCTTGACACATCCTCTTGACACATCCTCTTGACACATCCTCTTGACACATCCTCTTGACACATCCTCTTGACACATCCTCTTGACACATCCTCTTGACACATCCTCTTGACACATCCTCTTGACACATCCTCTTGACACATCCTCTTGACACATCCTCTTGACACATCCTCTTGACACATCCTCTTGACACATCCTCTTGACACATCCTCTTGACACATCCTCTTGACAACGCAAGCAGTTATGCCACAAGGTTGTTGAGAGTTGCTGCTGCTTGCGCTTGCTTGCTGCGTGTTACTTGTGCCTTTGCTTGCCGCTGCTGCTAGTTGCCTCGTCGAGGTGCACATGTTGTGCCCTTCGCTGTATGTAGTTGCTTGTGATGGCATGGTTGGAGGTGCCTTTTGAGACGTCTCAAAAAGTGATGGCATGGTTGGAGGTGCCTTTTGAGACGTCTCAAAAAGTGATGGCATGGTTGGAGGTGCCTTTTGAGACGTCTCAAAAAGTGATGGCATGGTTGGAGGTGCAGGAGAGGAGGCGAATGGCTCAAGATATAAAGTGGCATCGTCGAGGTGCACATGCTGTGCCCTTCGCTGTATGTACTTGCTTTGTAATGGCGGCTCTGCCAGGAGTAGAGAGCACGGAAAGTGTTACCTGCGAGTAAACTCAGTGTCCCGCCTATGCCTCTATACACTCCATTTTCTGTGCCTGTTTTTGGTACTGGCGCTGGCAGGAGGAGGAGCGGAGAGCACAGAAGGCAGAGGCAAGGGAGGTGGAGTGTGACGCCATGCTGCAGGTCCTGCTCGCCCAGCTGCAAGCCCAGACCTACCCCACCTTCGTTTGACTAACCTCAACTTACCTCCTCCACATTCCCTCCACACCCCTGACACACTCGCTTCACACTCTCTCCACACTTCCTCCTCTCTCATGGCCATTACCTGACCTTACCTCCGTCACACTCAAGCTGCGACTTCGTGTCAGGCGGCACTTGCTCTGTAGATATGTAGAGGAGCAGAAGTTGCAATTGATGTAGGTGCCGAGTTATGGTTTGACATGACTTTGAATCTTGGAACAGCATTGGAAATAAATACAGAGATATAAATGAATACAGAGATATTTTGCAAGACTAGGTACTCTACGACGTGACATCAAAATGTCCAACTGATAACCTGGCGGGCCCCTCTTAGGAATGCTTGCATGCACTATCTGAAATCGGCGCAAATGACACCCTTCAGCTGCAGTGTTATATTCAATCATCAGTTTCCAATCAGCGCCATTACTGTACCGTACATAAACCATTATGGTAATGTTTCCTGTTTCACATTGAAAATTGAAACCATGCATGCTCTCATGCCATGCCTTTGCACACTTGCATGTGCCTTCACACCACATGCCTTCATGCACATGCCTTCACACCGCATGCCATCAAGCACATGCCTTCAAGCACATGCCTTCAAGCACATGCCTTCAAGCACATGCCTTCAAGCACATGCCTTCAAGCACATGCCTTCAAGCACATGCCTTCAAGCACATGCCTTCAAGCACATGCCTTCAAGCACATGCCTTCAAGCACATGCCTTCAAGCACATGCCTTCAAGCACATGCCTTCAAGCACATGCCTTCAAGCACATGCCTTCAAGCACATGCCTTCAAGCACATGCCTTCAAGCACATGCCTTCAAGCACATGCCTTCAAGCACATGCCTTCAAGCACATGCCTTCAAGCACATGCCTTCAAGCACATGCCTTCAAGCACATGCCTTCAAGCACATGCCTTCAAGCACATGCCTTCAAGCACATGCCTTCAAGCACATGCCTTCAAGCACATGCCTTCAAGCACATGCCTTCAAGCACATGCCTTCAAGCACATGCCTTCAAGCACATGCCTTCAAGCACATGCCTTCAAGCACATGCCTTCAAGCACATGCCTTCAAGCACATGCCTTCAAGCACATGCCTTCAAGCACATGCCTTCAAGCACATGCCTTCAAGCACATGCCTTCAAGCACATGCCTTCAAGCACATGCCTTCAAGCACATGCCTTCAAGCACATGTCTTCAAACACATGCCTTCAAGCACATGCCTTCAAGCACATGCCTTCAAGCACATGCCTTCAAGCACATGCCTTCAAGCACATGCCTTCAAGCACATGCCTTCAAGCACATGCCTTCAAGCACATGCCTTCAAGCACATGCCTTCAAGCACATGCCTTCAAGCACATGCCTTCAAGCACATGCCTTCAAGCACATGCCTTCAAGCACATGCCTTCAAGCACATGCCTTCAAGCACATGCCTTCAAGCACATGCCTTCAAGCACATGCCTTCAAGCACATGCCTTCAAGCACATGCCTTCAAGCACATGCCTTCAAGCACATGCCTTCAAGCACATGCCTTCAAGCACATGCCTTCAAGCACATGCCTTCAAGCACATGCCTTCAAGCACATGCCTTCAAGCACATGCCTTCAAGCACATGCCTTCAAGCACATGCCTTCAAGCACATGCCTTCAAGCACATGCCTTCAAGCACATGCCTTCAAGCACATGCCTTCAAGCACATGCCTTCAAGCACATGCCTTCAAGCACATGCCTTCAAGCACATGCCTTCAAGCACATGCCTTCAAGCACATGCCTTCAAGCACATGCCTTCAAGCACATGCCTTCAAGCACATGCCTTCAAGCACATGCCTTCAAGCACATGCCTTCAAGCACATGCCTTCAAGCACATGCCTTCAAGCACATGCCTTCAAGCACATGCCTTCAAGCACATGCCTTCAAGCACATGCCTTCAAGCACATGCCTTCAAGCACATGCCTTCAAGCACATGCCTTCAAGCACATGCCTTCAAGCACATGCCTTCAAGCACATGCCTTCAAGCACATGCGATCACAACACGCAGACACAATTTCAGCAGGCAGATAGGCTGGCTGGCACAGAGCCCTCATACCCACACTCCCACACGTCCCTCAAGAAACTTAGTACCTGTCTGGATTCTCCTTTCAACAGTGAGGATATTATCAGCATCTCCCATGATGGACCTTCTCAGAGCATTTAGTGTAGTACCTGTAGTAGCACCCTGGCCAAGAGTACCTGTCAGCAACATCTCTGCCTCATAGTACAGTGTATTTGTCCACAACACCCTTCACATTGTAGTGTACCTGTTTGTAGCATCTGCCAAAGCACAAACGACTTGCACACAACAACAGGAAGGGTAAGATACCAAAGAATACCGATACGGGAAACAAAGCAATCGCTTGCAACTGGGGCAAGGTTGCCTGGAAAATGGAAAACGATGAAAATGCATGACAATGGCGAAATGCGAAAGCTGAGGTTCGGGGAATGCCTGAAGATAAATTGCACAGGAGATCCCATTGAAACAGATTCATGTGAACCGAGAACTCAAACACCGTTAGTGCGGTGCGGTGAATACCCGAACCGCACTCAATTGAATGGCAAGTGCATCACAGAAAGAGGGAGGGCAATGAAAGATATGCACGCGGGGAAGACTGTCAGTAAACCAGCATCACAACCCTGCTCCAACCAGCTTCATCATCCCATAAAAATGTTTGACGTAAACATCATACCGGTAGATGAACACGTAGACAAGTATTCGACAAAACATCCAGCAACTCTTCATTTCCACCTGGAAACCAGGTGTTTTTTGCATGGAAAAGCATTTTTTAAATGCTGGAAATCACATGGTTGATGAATGGGAAATGGGAATCAGATGCTTTATTCACAGACAATGAAAAGCAAATGCTTCATGTATGGGAAGTAGAATTAGATGCCTGATATATTGGAAACAGGAGAATCCAATGCCTGATGCATGGGAAACGAGAATTCGACAAATGATGCATTAGAAATGGGGATCACGTGCCTGATGCATGTAGGATGCATATTGGATAATTGATACATGAAAGTAAATAATCAGTTTCTGAATGCGCGGATTTCCAAAAAACATATGGCAGGTCCATGGGAAATGGAGATAAGATGTTTGATGGACAGAATTATGGGAACCAAGCGCCTGATGCATGGAAAGATGTCTGGTTTATGGGAAATGGAAGGAGCTCATGCCTGAGCATCGGAAACAAGAATGAAATGGCCAACTTTTGAAAACCGAAAAGGCGAGAAGCATGGGAAATTGGAATTCAGAGCCTGGACTCAAGGTCCCTCAGGATTCTCCAGCGACAGGAGCAGACTGAAATCAGGCCCAAGCAACTCTTATGAAGGTGAAGAGAAGATATATGAAACTGGAGGTGGACTCCTCATATTCAAAAGATTTGTACTCAACTTATGGACCCCACTAAATGCTGAACAATGCAGAAGACATATTCACCAAATGGATTTAAATTCACATAATCATGGAAGAAATTTACGATATACATAAATATATACAAATTATCCAGCAAATCTTTATTTCCACCTAAGAATCTGGGATAATTGTTTCTGTGAGGATGCTTGTGCAGCCTGAGATATTTACCCACTTGACCTCCTTGTTCTTCCCTGCGAACCCTTCTGCACTGCCTGCCTTAGGGGTGCCACACGAGCAGCACTGGCACTGGCCGTGGCAGGAGCTGCTGTTGGTTTCACTGCAGCCTTGCAAGCTGCAGCCTTGACTGCAGGCTTGGGAGCTGCAGCCTTGACTGCAGGCTTGGGAGCTGCAGCCTTGACTGCAGGCTTGGGAGCTGCAGCCTTGACTGCAGGCTTGGGAGCTGCAGCCTTGACTGCAGGCTTGGGAGCTGCAGCCTCGACCGCAGGCTTACAAGCTGCAGCCTTGACTGCAGGCTTGGGAGCTGCAGCCTTGACTGCAGGCTTGGGAGCTGCAGCCTTGACTGCAGGCTTGGGAGCTGCAGCCTTGACTGCAGGCTTGGGAGCTGCAGCCTTGACTGCAGGCTTGGGAGCTGCAGCCTTGACTGCAGGCTTGGGAGCTGCAGCCTTGACTGCAGGCTTGGGAGCTGCAGCCTTGACTGCAGGCTTGGGAGCTGCAGCCTTTACTGCTGGCTTGCAAGCTGCTGCCTTTGCTGCTGGTTTGCAAGAAGGGGATCTGACCAACAATGCTGATTTTGATTCAGCAGGCGATGCAGAAATAGCAGCAGCAGCATTGGCAGCAGCGGCACTCACAGCGTCAGCAGCAGCAACCACAGCATCAGCAGCAGCACCCACAGCAGAAGCAACAGCACCCATAGCTGCAGCAGCAGCCCGGACCACAGCAGGTCTCAACCGTGAAAAACCTAAAGGAGCACGAAATTCCCGCTTGCTGGTCACTTCAGCAAACCTGCCAACCCTGTACGCCACAGCAGCTGATGTCATAGGCTTCTGCTTTGGCGACAGCAGCAGCCTGTCACCCTCACTCGGTGCTGAGAAGCACCTGAGAGTCGTGTCTCTCAGATATGCTTCATCAGCGTCCGTCCACTCTGTGATGAAGTCAGCAGGGTCAACCTGCGCATTCTGACCCAAATTCGCAGCTAACTTCACTAATACGACGGTTGCGAGCACCAGACCTCAGGTAAGCTTCATCCTCAGCCGTCCATTCAGTGGTTATAAACTCACTAGGGTCCACCAAGTTGTAATCCGCCAGCAGCAGCAGCGGCAGCAGCTCATCTTCATCATTTCGAGTCGAGCTGCTCTTGACAGAGCCACTTCTCAACTCGATTTCATCAGCATCCGTCCACTCCGTCAGCCATTCGAACGGAGTGGAGCTTTCTGGCGAGCATACGAGCCAGCTCGGAACGTCCCAAATATATTGGGCTGCGTCACCAAAGCAAACGGCAGCAGCAACAGCCACTGCAAGTGCCGATTCAGGGTGAAGATATGCCATTCGAGGGAGCTGGGGTTTCAACAGCGCAGTA